TCCAAGATTAACCTTCAGGGTGGATATAGCTCGCTAGCAGCCTTGCACCAGTGACCTAGATGATGTCATCATTTACCCAGAATGCTTTGTGTGTAAATAAAATGGTTCCGTCCGTGTTGAAACATATTTTAAAAAATTTACAAAACTAAACAACCTTCAGTATTTTTACAGTCTTTATTTTACAGTTAAAAGAAATGTTTATCAAATAAATTTTAATGTTACAACTAATCGTGGATCCCTTTAAAGACATGCAGAATATGTTGGCCTGGGTCTGAACCAGCTGTTGGTCTCTGCTCAGATTGGAGCAGCAGAAACYGGAACAGCTGGAGAGGGAGCAACTGGAGAAAATGAAACCTGATCCTCCTGCAGCTCCCGCCCCGCCGGCTGCTCCACCTGCCCCGCCGGCACCACCCCCACCTCCGGGACCACCCCCACCACCCTCTGGGTCCTGTCCACCTGCACCTCCTCCTCCTCCATCTGGTGGCATAGTCCCACCTCCACCACCCCCGCCCCCGGCCGGAGGAAGCGGAGGTGGAGGAGGAGGTGGAGGAGGAGGTAAAACTGATTTGGCAGCAGCTCTTGCAGGAGCCAAACTGCGTAAAACTGCAAAGGTAAGAATGTGGGAGAGGATTCAACCCTGACCCTGACTTCAGTTCAGGAACTCAAAAGTCTTTAATTTTCTAACACACTACTGACTCGTTATTAATGTTTGATAAACTCTAAATAACATGTAGATGTTAAAAATGTATATAATCAATATCCTTTAATAATTTAGTAACGTCTAAATGTTTGTTAACCTTRTGATTCTCTTCATCACACTCTTCCTCTTGTCCTGACATATTAACGGTGAACTGGGTATTATAAAAACCTTGGTTATCTCAGCATGATTTATTAAACACATTGACTGACAACACAGCCTAAAGAATGCTGTAACTATCCATCCATCATCCATCCAGCCATTATCTTATGCTTTGTCCAAAGTCAGGTTGTGGGGGCAGCAGCTTGAGCAGAGAAGCCCAGACCTCTCTTTCCCCAGCCACCTCTTCCAGATCTTCTGGGAGGACTCCAAGGTGTTCCCAAGGCCAGCCGGGAGACATAGTCTCTCCAGCYTGTCCTGGGTCTTCCTCGGGGTCTCATCCCAGTTGGACATGCCTGAAGCACCTCCCTAGGGAYGCGTTCAGGAGGCAACCAGATGCACAAACCACCTCAACCTGCTCCTGTCGATGTGGAGGAGCAGCGGCTCTACTCTGAGTCTCTGATAACTGAACTTCTTACTCTATGTCTAAGGGAGAGTCCAGCTACCCTGTGGAGAAAACTCATTTCAACCACTTTTATCTTGTTCTTTCGGTCACTTCCCAAAGTTTGTGACCATAGGTGAGRGTAGGAACATAGATTGATCAGTAAACAGAGAGCTTTGCCTTACAGCTCAGCTCCCTCTTCACCACAACAGACTGGTACAGAGTCRGCAAAACTGCGGAACCTGCATCAATCCATCCATCAATCTCACACTCCATTCTTCCCTCACTCGTGAACAAGACCGCAAGATACTTCAACTCCTCCACTTGAGGCAGAACTTTACCCCCAACCCAGAGAAAGCAATCCACCCTTTTCCGACTGAGGACCATGGACTCAGATTTGGAGATGCTGATCCTCATCCCAGCTGCTTCACACTCAGCTGTGAARCYCTCCAGTGAGTGCTGAAGATCCTGGCTCGATAACGCCAACAGAACCACATCATCTGCAAACAGCAGAGATGAAATCCTGAYGCCACCGAACCAGACTCCCTCCGCCCCCTGGCCACACGGAGAAATTCTGTCCATGTAAGTTATGAACAGAATCGTTGACAACGGGCAGCCCTGGCAGAGTCCAACTCCCACTCTGAAGGGGTCCGACTTACTACCYGCAATGCGAACCAAACTCTCACTGCTTGTATAGACTGAATGGCCCGTAACAACGGACCCACAATCCCATAATTGTGTAGCACCCTCCACAGTGTACCTCAAGGAACACGTTGAATGCCTTCTCAAAGTCCACAAAACACATGTAGACTGGATTAGCAAACTCCCATGATCCCTTGAGGACCCTAGTGAGGGTAAAAAATTGGTCCAGTGTTCCATGGCCAGGACGGAACCCTCATTGTCCCTCTAGAATCTGAGGTTTGACCATCAATRGGACTCTCTCCTCTAGTACCCCTGAAAAGACCTTACAGGGAAGGCTATGGAGAGTGATGCCCCTGTAACTGGATCACACCCTCCGGTCCACCTTTTTAAAGAGGGGAACCACCATCCCAGTCTGCCAATCTAGTGGCACTGACCCTGATGTCCATGCGATGTTGCAAAGGCGTGTCAACCAGGACAGCCTCACAACATCCAGAGCCTTGAGGAAATCAGTGCAGATCCCATCCACCCCTGAAGCCCTGCTTCCGTGGAGCTTTTTAACTACCTCAGTGACCTCATCTCCAGTAATGGATGGACAAGCCCCAAAGTCCTCTAACTCCTCCATTGAAGACGTGCCGGTGGGATTCAGAAGGTCAGAGGAATATTTCTTCCACCTCCCGATGACATTACTGGTTGAGGTCAAAAGCACCTCAACTTCACTGAGTACAGTGTTAGTGAAGTGCTACTTCCCCCGCATGCTGTAASTAAATTTAAATAACATGTAAAAATAAAGTGTCTCAGTGGAATCTAACAGAGAGCAGTGACCTTTCTTTACTTCCTCACAAACTGATGAAACACAGTCAGGTCTGTGATCAGTTATGGGACTGGATCTGTGCTGCTACTCAGAGTAGTGTCCAATGTAAAGACATACAGTATGTCCAAACTTGTCCTGTCAGGCAGAGGACTTGTGTCCAAACTTGTCCTGTCAGGCAGAGGACTTGTGTCCAAACTTGTCCTGTCACCTGTCAGAACTTGATATTAGGATTACAAGAACAGCTCTAAAATGAGTTAAGCCTTATTTGATTGACAGATTTAATTTAGTTAATGTTAATAATGAATCTTCTTACACCAGAGTTAGTCATGGAGTTCCTAAGGGTTCAGTGCTTGGACCAATCCTCTTTACTTTATATATGCTTCCATTAGGTAAAGCTATCAAACAGCATGGGATGAATTTCCATTGTTATGCTGATGATACTCAGTTATATTTATCCATGAAATCTGATGAAACTAATCAGTTACTTAAACTACAATTTTGTCTCAAAGACACAAAAGCCTGGATGACTCTTATTTTCTGCTTCTAAACACAGGTAAGACAGAGGTTCTGGTTTTTGGACCTGAACATCTTAGGGATCAACTTTGTAGCCTTTCACCTCCTCTGGATGGCATTAATCTGGCCTCCAGTTGTAATGTAAAGAAACTTGGTGTTATTTTTGATCAGGACATGTCTTTTAACTCCCACATTAAAAATGTTACCTGGACCACTTTCTTCCACTTGCGTAATATCACTAAAATTAGAAACATTTTGTCCAAAAATGATGCAGAAAAACTGATTCATGCGGTTATTGTTTTAGGCTGGATTACTTTAATTCTTTATTATCTGGGCATCCAAAAAACTCTTTAAGAAGTCTTCAGTTGATCCAAAATGCTGCTGCTAGAGTTTTAATGCGAGTTAGAMGCAAATGAAAACAATGACTGGGAGCTGACTTGACATTTTGTTTTTTAAGGATGAAGGTGGAGCAGCAGCCCCTGCTCCTAAACCAGCCTCCTCATCAGGGGGAGGAGGAGGTGACCTGATGGGAGAAATGAGTGCCATCCTTGCACGAAGGTAAGTTCCTGTTCAGTTAGAAAAAATTATCTTTGACTGGATGTAGTGCATTCTGGGTAATTAAACAAAGAAAGCAATGGGTATTTGGGGTATGGGRCATTTTTCCTATTGTGTGTATTCGAAGCTTTTTAAAGGTAGCGCGACCCTTACAGGTTGCCGCATGACCTGAACAACTGTTACCCCATGTTTTGTCATGTGTGTGTCTTCTTGAATGGGTGTTCTTAAATGTAATTTCGTTGTGCAAATGATGACAATAAAGGCTTTCATCATCATCATCATCGTCATCATCATCATCATATGTTCCTAGAGTAAAAACAGAARGGTAAAATTAGTTTGAAGTGGACTCCTGTAATTATACGTACATATAAACAGCCAGCCTGTGTCACACATTCAGTTTAGAACATCATCAAAATATTCAGTGATTCTGTACATTATATTTCAAACATAAACATGCATTAAATGACCCTCTTGTTAAAGAAAAAAAAATTCAGATTTTTTTTATGCAGTAAACCTTATAAATGTCTGGTTCTTATGTAGGAACAACTTTTCCAGTGGGTTTGGATAGGCCACTATACATGTGCATCTGTGGTGTTACATGAACGTGGCCTCAGTGCCTGCTTATYATGATGTATTTTGAGGGGCCCACTGTAATCTGCTCCTTAAAGCATGCTTGTACCAGTTGTGAACATGTGTAAAAAGGTGTGAACAGGGTCAGATGATATCTGATGATCCAGTTCTGAAGCTTCCTAATGACAGGGCTTCATTTCTTCACCAGGAGAAAAGTTGCTGATAAACCTGTTGCCAAAAAAGAAGAACCTTCAAGGGTAAGTTCCAGACTAATGCCAGTATGATGAGACCTTATCTTGTGTTTTAATGTAACTTTAGATTATGTAATAAAAATCTGTCTCTGTGGATTACATCTGTCTCTGTGGATTACCTGTCTGTCTCTGTGGTTCACCTGTCTGTCTCTGTGGTTTACCTGTCTGTCTCTGTGGATTACCTGTCTGTCTCTGTGGATTACCTGTCTGTCTCTGTGGTTTACCTGTCTGTCTCTGTGGATTACCTGTCTTTCTCTGTGGATTACCTGTCTGTCTCTGTGGATTACCTGTCTGTCTCTTTGGTTTACCTGTCTGTCTCTCTCTGTGGATTACCTTCTGTCTCTGTGGTTTACCTGTATGAATGTAGGAAGAAGGTGACTCTGCATCAAAACAGTCAGAACCAAGCGGTGAGTAACTGTGTTTTTTAGAACTCAGTTTTTCTTCACAGCTCTCATATAAAAGTTCTTTCAACTTGTTCTAAACACACAGAAACAGGCAGAATAGCCTTTTCATGTGGTTTCAGACAACTGTCCTGTGGTTGGTTAAAAACTGAAGAGGATGTTGTTAATGCAGAAGAACTGATGAGTTCTGACCTTCAGTTTTTTGTGAAGTACGAAATCTCCTGGCCAGAAGATTTGGTTCTTGTTTCTGCTCCTCGTGTAAAAGAAGACTTTTCTGAGTGTTGCAGAATATTAAACAAGTCTTCAGTGGAGGGCACAGCTCCCCTAAAGCACTAATAGGGAAACTAATTTCCTGATTAGTGCTTTTGCTAATTTTAGAATGTATTAGTGGATTAGCACTTGCTAAATTTCTAGGCTAAATTTGAAAGCACTAACTGAGGTCTATAAATGTTATTGATCAACGTTAAAGTTAACAGCTGAGGATGAAAACTGTCCCCCATTTTGTTC